GAAGAACAGAACTAGTTGCCTTAATTTTGTTGATAAGGTGACCCGTTTGCTATTTAAATTATAACATGAAAAAAACTTCTTAAACTGTTAAGTAAAGCTTCATAAAGTATTCCAACATTTTAAATACTTTTTGCTCTACAAGCCACATCCAAGAGTGATCTCTTTTCAAAAGAAAGCTGAATGAATCAGAGGACTCTGCACAAGGACTGAAGAGGATCTGTGTGTTTTTCAGCATGCACTGAGGCCATCAGGCTAAACTGTGGCTTTGCTACAAGCAAGACATTGCTCTGAGAAACAGATGAGGAAACAGATTGCAACTCGCAGACCGACAATCTGCTTGCTGCATTTCTTATACTTTGAGGAGAAATAACTTGGGCCAGGCCTACACATAGTGTAGCTGCACTAAGTAAGGCTAAGCAAAGAATGGAGCCATTCCCTGCCACAGTCTGCCAAATGTAGAAAAGGAAAAAACCAGCTCCAGGCCGGGTGCTCCGCCTTCCCATGCTGTGTAATGGCAGCAGCCAACAAAGAGCAAAAAAGGGCCAATTCAACCTCCCCTACTATGTGTGCCAGTGCACATTAATTAATATTCAATCCCACAGTCCTGTTAAAAATCCAAAGCTCTTTTAACATGTACAGTTTATAAAGACTAAAAATTAGCATCTAGTCAAGAACTATCCAGTCTTTAGCTTGTAACATATTAGTAGGGTAAACAGGTATGTACATGACCACACGTGGCAAAATGAGATGAGGTCTCTGAGAGACATTAAAACCTTCAAAGTTATTTTTCCTAATAACACTGAAAGAAATGAAACCTGTCTCTATCCAACAATGAAAAACTAGCTGGTCAATAAAAACATGTTATGTATACACAGGTAATCAAATTAAGTAAATCAAAAATACCAGGTTTGTTAGAAACATTTTACTCTTTTCATGTGTTAAATCCTTTAATGTGCATTTAAGAATTTGGGATACAAGAACTGAATGATAAATTCTGTTAGAGGGATTGTGGGATTTTACTGTCAAGTTTTTGTGTTTACATTGAAATAATATAAAAGCCAGTGAAATTGTGTAAAAATCTGTGAAAGTTTTCTTTGCAATCTAAAAAAACCCCCCTAATTCTAAACTTAAAAAACTTTTTTTTTTAATATGAAGCATACTTAATATACCAACGTATGACAGTTCCAGACAGTGGAATCCCAGAAGAAACAGAGAAAATAAACTTATATTTCAGTCTTCTAAACTCTGAATGTTTTATGAGGCATCTCAAAATATTCTTGTTTCATAGTAAAAGATCCCAGTCCTGCACTGATGTTTGGGGTTGGGGACTGTAGGCAACACAGACATAACAGAGCTTTAGACATCCTAGTGTATCACACCTGAAACTTAGATGAAACTCCACAGTTCGTGGCTCTTTGTTTAATTCCATCAGTCCAATCACATGCCTCAGAAACTCATGGGCATCTAAAATACCAATAATTACCCAGGTTTAAGCAACTTAATTACTCTATTCCAAGTGTTTACTTAGGTTTCTTGCTCTAAGAGGTTGCAATGCCTTATGCTGACTTTTGCACCTGAGGAATTCACCTTCAGTATATTCACCCACAATCTTTATGCTACAAAACAAAGTATGGAGGTAGGGGAGCACAAACTGACCCAGAGCCTTTCAGTGCTTCTCCTGAACTGAAACAAGTTATAGAGTCCACACAGTCAAACATCATTGATTTGTTGTCATTGTTTTAGATAAATCAATTTGGGCATGAGGTATTATATAGTGACTACTGCAGATATCTGTGTGCATATGATGTCTTAATTAAGCATATGTAATTTTGATGCTCTTAGCACATACTCTAAGCATGTGTTTAAATCCTCACAGGAATTCATTCATATGTTTATACATGTGTTTAAATAGCCTTCTGGAACAAAGCTGTTTTCTTGAACTGTTGTAATAGTTTAATATAATGACTTAGGAGTTAGAAACCAGCCCTTTAAAAATTAGATAATTTACCCTGCAATTATCATCAATTAATAGGTCCAACTATAGAACCATACAAAGGTTTGCCCTATTTTCCCCCCAAGGACCATAAAATACATTAAGTCAAAAAAAAAATTGTTATAAAATTGTAAATAGGTCACCAGAGCTCAGGTAGTTTGTTCCTTGGTTCAGATAACAATCAATGTATATTTGCCAATTCATGAATATTAAATTTCATTCACAAGGCACATCATTACTGCAAAGCCAGTTTCCACCAAAAAAGGCATCTTGCCATGGAGAGTTCAGCCACACAAACTGAGTTGTCTCTAGCACTTTGAAGAAATCCAAAGGGAAAATGTACTACTACTATGTAGACCAATGTATAAGGCACAGTATAAGTCCATTTGTATGCTGAAAAAGTTGGACTTTTCCAACCTAATGCTAGAAACAGCATTGCTAAAAGGAGAAAGAAAAAGCAACATGGACCCTTCTCACCATGATGGGATACATAAAGTTCTGCGGAACCATTTTAGAAACTGAGCATTAATTACAACCACTGAAAGAGCAGGAGATATTATCAAACACAATGACTCCTAAAAATTACATAAAATGAAGAAAAATATGTTCCTATATTTTTTTCTATTGCTTTCTTCTTATTATAACTTCCAAAATCAGTTTTTACTCTAATAAACTGCATGCAAAAATACCAGTTAGCTCTACTAGTAAGCTTCTTCAATAGAAGATTGAAGAATCTTCTTCTTCAGATCCCCTCCAACCTCAAATGCAAACTTTTATACTCTACATTTATGGCTCTTCTACAACTTTACTATTTTCAGCAAGTGTTGATTTCCTAAAAAAGATCAAGATGTTAGTATAACTCTCTTTCAGTACCTCATTTTGTTTCCATGTGTCCTGTACCAAGACAGACCCAACCTTAATCTTGCATGTCATTCTGGACTTAATTCATCATTAATGGCATTAGTTAGATGAGGGAACATCTCCAAAATAAAAAGGTATGTTAAAATACCTGGGACATATAATTCTTTCTTGAAAACACTATAATGCATAGTAGTTTCTACTTTGAGCACTCCTGGTGAACCCTCTCAAAGGCGTTATGTTGAATAGTGTGTTAGATTGTGAACATTTATGCATCAATCCATTACTGAATTCTAAATTCTTTCTAAATTAGAAATACTTTAGCATACAGCTGTATGCAGCACAGCTAAAAGTTCACTTTTAATTTTTGAAGTTACATTAACAGAAGCCATAGACATTCTTTACAACATTTGTAAGAAATATCATAAATGTAACAGTATATGTTTTATTTTGCTTTACTTCTCTTTAAGCCAAGTGCACTTTGGGGTGGGGGGGAAAGCCAGTTGACTTTACAACCTAAAATACTTAAATTCTGAGTAACAAACAATGACTGTGGTGACCCATCTGTATATACAAAACACCTGGCTCATGTGTTCCATATACACAATGTAAACCACTGTTGTTTAATAAAGAAAGGAAAGCACAAGCAAATACGCTCCCTCTGGATACACAGAAGTTACTATACACAACATGAAAGTAACAGAGCAAGAATACAGCACAAGCACCAGCCCTGAAGAGAGTCACTACACAAATCATGCAGTAGAACTGGATTATAAACGGCTAGTCATTGTACTGAAGTGAACTTACTTCTGTACTTAGAAAAATGGGTATCACATTTTAAGAAGACTCATATTTTAAATTCAACCAACTATCTGGCATACTCCTTGCTAAGCAGCCTATTTGAGTACAGTACAAAAAGCAATCACATGGTGTGTTTTGATTTTGGTCAATGGGTTAGTAATTCAGCAATGGTGCAACACCTAATTGAACTGGGACACCACAGAACTTTGGTAAACTATGAATATCTGAACTGTTGTTGTTTACAGCACTAAAGCCAGCTTTAAAATAGCAAGACTTTATAACAGAGTTTAAATAGGTACACTTCGGACAGTTAACACTAAATTTTCCCTGACAGGGGACACAGAAATAATATAAAAACATTGACAAGAAGGCACTGGCAATAGAATCATAAATATATTTTTGTTTAAATCCATTTCCATTGCACTAGGCCTTTCTTTCTTTACCAAATAAACAACCAAACCAAACCTCCAATTTATTCAAGTTCTAGGTCCACAGTGTTTTGGTTCATTTTGTCTTCTTTTGCTATGCCTAATGTAGTGTTGAACACTAGCACTGGACTGGGTCCTGCAGACCTTCTCTGGCTTGAATACAGTCAAATGCCATAAATGATTGTGACAATGCTCTGACTTAAGAGCATGATGAAACCCAACATCAAAGCTATGCTGTAGATCGCCTGAGATATGACTAATAATGACTAAAGTTAAGCCCTTTCACCCAATATGGCCAGTAACCCAGTTTCACTCCACTAAACCCAGGTACCTTGAAAGTAATGCTGCTCTTACCTAACCTGCTCCATAAGTTTTACATCTCCTCGGCCTCAATGATTTATCTCCCACAAAAAAGAGATCCCCTTTGTTTTGTAGGTTCATTACTATGGCATGCCTAATTTCTTCTGTAAGTGAGGGCTGCAACTATGGGTGAGGGTATGGGGTGAAGCTACGTCTTTTTACACAGACTTCCACAATGCAATGCCTTGTCTGTGATAAACATTTTCATCTGTGATTACAAGGAGCAATGTGAAGATAGAAATATCAAAGGAAGGGTAATCAATACATCGTACATATTAGCACAGCAGTCAAAATATAAGTTCTGCACCACAGCTAGTAACAGAATGAACACATGGACCTTACAGACGCATTGAAGGCAGGAAATTCAGTACCACTATATTAAGAAAATGACTGCCTGTGACTTTAAACACTGGCACGCTTGTACTTGGCGAGAAAGTGAACGATTTATTGTTACTATGAAGGATGCGGGAATGGAAATGAAGATGAGAGGGGCAACGATGATGATGATACAGAAGAAGAGGTTAATATCCCCAGCATCTGATGGGGAACGATGTCCCTACCTCAGTAAGCTGGATAAGGGGATAGCTCCAGATCCACTGCCAAGGATCCCTCCTTTCCTCCCAGAGAGGAGTTTCTCCACCAGAGCCACATTCCCAGTGCGAGCAGCTTCCAGCAGTTCCTGATCCTTCCCCATGGTCGGAAGCCAAGCAGCCCCCCGCGAGAGAGCTGTACCCCGGGCCACAGCGGCCCCCTCTCTCCACAGAACGACCTCCCCTCCCCAGACCCTGCCTCAGAGCAGAGCACGGCAGAGATTCCTGCAGTCCCTTCCAGACCAGCAGGAGCAGCAGCAGGAGGGAGGAGGAGAATCACCTCCTCCTGGTTTCACTGGATCATTTCTGGGTGGAGTGTGGAAGGTGAAGGGGGGCGGCGGGAGGGAGGGAAGGAGGACGAGGCCAATAAAGAACCTCCCCCACACTGCCATGCACACACAGCCCCGGCCCGGAGGATGGGGCGGGGGAAGCGGGCAGTGTTAGCCGCCGTGCCGTGTCGGGCTGACGAGGATAACGACCCTCCCGGACGGGCGAGCAGCCGGGCGCACGGAAGCGGAAGAGGGGCCGGAGGGGAGGGAGGGGAGGAGGCGCAGCCCTGCCTTGCCAGGCCCGTTGCTGGGAGACCGCCCGGCGCGCTCCCAGTGGCTGCCCCGGGCGCGGCGCCCCCTCCGCTCGCTCCGGCGGCCCCGGCGCTCCGCGGGCCCCGCTCCTCCGCCCTGCTGGCCCCGCCCGGCCCGCGCCCCACTGCGGAGCCGGGAGCGCCGCCCGCCCCGCCAGGTGCATCGGCCGCGCCCCCCGCGGCGGCAGCGAGCGCTTGGCGGCGGCGGGGCAGCGCTGCGGCGGTGGCGCCTCCCCGCGCTGCGGAAGGTGACGGGAGGCACCCGGCGCCGGGCCGAGGATGGCTGGGGGCGAGGATGGGGGGCGGCCTCGGCGACGAGCCCCGGGGGCGGAGGGCGGGCGCTGAGGGACACCCGCCCCGGGCCGAACTGGCGGCAGGTGCGGGCAGGGTTGGTGGGGTCACGGCGCTGTGTCCATGTGTCCGTGTGTGTGTGTGTGTGTGTGTGTGTGCGCGAGGAGATGGCTCGAGCGAGGATTCCTCCCCATCCGGGGACGCGGCAGGACGCTCCGCACGGACACACCGGCCCGCTTCCTTGAGCGAAACGATGTAGGCAAATAGGAAAACCCGGGCCCCGCGGAGGTCGGGAGCGAATCGGGCAGGCGGGACTGCTGGCACCGCCACAAGCCAGGATCGTGGCTTTTCAGTATTTCCACGGACGGGAGGTATAACTGAGTATGTTAGGTATCACATCCAGTCATCCCTTCTGGAGTTTCTGGTTCTGTTACAGAGACCTTTTAAATTGTATGACTTTTCCAGGCACCAAAATTAATCATTCCTTGTGGATACTGGGGTTTTTCAAGATATGCTGAAAATACTCGGTGCTGGCCAAGCCATGGGCACATCCTTGATAAATGCATCGTTTGGCACTGTGCATATGTGGAACCCAAATTACAGCCCCGGGTTCCTGTTTCAGTTTAGTGATTTGAGTAGGTAGGACCATAGGTACAACAGGCAAATAAATTATCAACCCTAACTGTTCCCCCACTGGCATCAGTGGCATTCTCCCATGAACTGTGCTCACAAGAGGTAAAGTCCAGCAATGGCAAATAACAAGGATTTTAATGTTATGTTTTTAGAGAGTGTTTATTACTACAGACCTACAGTACATTTGAGGCAGTGGAAAGATTCTTGTTGATTTCACAAATTATTTGTTTTAATCCCTATCAGTAACACTTGTACAGATGTTTTTGTGTAGCTAATTAAAAATTTTTAGTATAAGTAGAAATTTCTTTCTGGGATCTGATTTTTCTCTTACAAAGGATAAAAAAAATAATCCTTATGGAGACCTATCATTCCAGTACAGTTGTCCACAGTGAAGTATATTTTAGCTACAAAATGTAATTTACATAGTTTGGAATTTTCAGGACACGAAATTATGTCTTCTCCGATACTGTCAGCAGGACACAGAACTGAGCACATGCATAAAGTTATTAGGTGGAGAGATTCTATAACTACAGTCTTTCTGATTGAAAGAGTTTGATATAAATAATTTTAAGTATATAAATTGTATGAATTTATATACTTAAAAAATAAGTATAAAATTACTTGATATAAGTAATTTTAAGGCCTGATTCTGTGATCACAAATGTCTTATTATGGTTTAAATAAACAAACGTATAATCACAGGAATTAGGATTTATAGTTTAAGTCCTTTGTCACAGCAGAGTCACAGTGGAAAACAGTAATTTAAAACTTGACTAAAAGGTTGTATCTTGTTACCAGCCACTTGAGCTTTAACTAGTTCCAAAAAAGTTAGCCTTAAACTAAGAAACCCCCTGCATTCTGAAGCGTCTTGATGTCCTCTGTTAAGGTAGCTGTAATTTCCCTGTATTTCTCACTTGCTTTTGATTTTGTGTGCAATCACATGCCTTGCTTGATAAATACCTTCTGACATGCGTGCTCTGCATGAACCGATTTCTTCAAGTTCGCTGAGAGCCTCTGAAGAGGTGCCAGTATTCCATGAAGAGCTAATCATAAGGCAGGCATATGTGCATAAACCTGCACATTTATGAAAAATTAGCTTAGAAGCAGATACTGAGGAACGACTCGGGTCTTTAGGAATTTGTATTGTTGATGTGGTTGGATCAGCAGATGGCAAATATGACTCACTATAAACGTTGCATAATTCTTCTTGGGGAAAACAAAATCTCAAGACTGTGCTCTAACTGAAAAGATCATCCAGAAAGCTGTTGAAGAACAGTATGGAGAATCGGGATAGAAATATCAACGGAGCAGATGCATGCAGTAGCCAGCAAATTGAGGAAGATTTTTATGAATGTAGTGAGGCTCAAAACATACCCCAGTAAACTCATCAGCCTAGTGTCCAATGAAAAACTGCAAAGGCTAAACAGAGGATTTAGTTTCATTAGCAAATAGAGCAGAACAGCATTATTCTATCAATGCGAAAAGGAAAAAGAAATGTAGGCAGCACTATTTAATGGAAGGATTAAACATGGATAAATTCTAAGGGCTACCAAAGCAAAGAATTCAGAACATGAGTTGGTCTGTTTCCAGAGATGAAATTGATAGTGGACTGTAGTAAGTAAAAAAAAAATCAAGACTGAGTTGAAGGTAAATGGTCAAACCCATTAGATTAAGTAGGCTCCTTTGTGTTTTAAATGTTTTACATTCTTTGTTCCTGGCAATATCAGGACAACACTGTGGAGAGTTAAAAATTTTTTGTATGATAAATATATGAACTAGACATAGAAAATGGAGACATAGCTTTACAATTTGCAGCAGTTACAGATGAGAGAAATAATTTGTAAAACAGCCAAGAGATCTTTCAAAACATTGTGTGCTTTTTGAACAGTGCTGTTCCATACCACAGCAGAATTTTGATTCTATGATTTTAGTATTTTTGAAGACGTTTTAAGTTATGACCACTGCAGCTGTCAGTGTCTAAGTGGCATCACACTTTCAATCTTAAAATTCCTCTTAACACAACATATGCTTTACCTTCTGTTTTCTTCCATTTTCTAAAATTCCAGAGAGAGTAGTTAGCCTACCTAGAAATTCTTTAACTGGTTTGTCATTTGAAAGGACTGGAAGTGACTGTAATAAGCAGGGAGTTTCCTTAATGTTTTACAGTGCAACTATCACTTAGCTTTGTTCTCATACGGGGGTGACAACTTCTTCATTTCTTCCTCCTGCAGTCTCCCAGACATAAAGGCAAATTAACTCCCAGACTTAAAGGCTTTCTGACAGTCTGTGACTTTCCCCTCTATTTTCAAGCAGAAGCATAGGAGGAGTATGAAAAATTGAGTTGTAAGTATTGAAAAAAAACCCTAAATCTGTGATATTAAAAAATAGTTGTGTAGAATAGCAAATATACTAACATCTTCTTTCAGGACTATCTATTATCAATTCACACTTGTAAAGATTAAGGAAGGTCTAAGATTCCTATTACAAGTTCTGAGGGATATTCTGCAAGAGAGCTCAAAATGCTGGAATACCATCAGTTCTGTTTGACGGTATAAAGTAAATTAGCATTAAATAGGCCTGATTATTATTCTAATTTTTGTACACCCATGGTAAGTCAGGGACAAAGGCTGCAAAGTGCCCAAGAGGAAGTACTATTTTTCATGCACCTAGATGGCAAGAATTTTTCAGTCTTGATATTGCCTTTTGCTCTTTATGGTATATATATATAGTGTAAAAAAGAAGCTGTGAACTTCAAACAGCCATGACTGTATTTGTGTTTGCACTGCTTATCTAGGAGATGTCTAAACATCAGGCTCAGAGGCTAAGCCCAAAATGGAGGTCCCAGGAGCACATCTGAGCTCTTGAGGCCAGGCGTGATTGCCCACCATGTCCTGGTTCCCTGCCAAGGTGAAACCCAGACACACATCAGGGATAGGCTCAGAAGGGAGATGGCACAGTGGACATATCTTCGGTTTAGATAACTGGGACACACCATAATACTCACATGATGCTTTGTTTAGCTCTCACCACTGAAATATGCAAAAGGACTTGCATCCTCCCCCACTGTAAAAGAAAATTATAGAAACTGAAGGTACTAAGCCTAACTCATGAGGGATATAAAAACATCAAGGGTGCTATGGTCTCAAAAGAGCACGTGGATTCTTGGACTCATTAAGTAGAAGCTAAAGTAGCGTGTAAAGAAAAAGCCATTTTTGATGGCTTACCCTCAACAATCCTGTCTCTGACCATACAATTCTGACTAGATCACATTTTCTCTAAACACTTACTTCCTTTCAGGCATGTTGTAAATTTGCAATGGAAAAGAATATGCCAGGAAATGATCCCTTAATGACAACAGCAGGATGCTGTCTCAGCATGTGTGCTGACCCCACAACATCATTCTTGTGGGGCTCTGAACACACTAAAAAAGGGCAAGAAATTAAACTGTTATTTTGTCATGCAGCCACTGACCTATAGAGTCATCTGAATATACCATGGGAAGCGTGCTGCATTCCCGAGGGCTGAAATATCCCACTGCTGGAAAGTCACAAGTACACACAGACTGCAGGTTGGGTCAGCACTGGAGAGCCGAACCTCCAGGATGTGTGATGAGATAGTACTGACAGTAAGGCAGATTCATCTGCCGTGCCATTTCCAGTGCAATTGCAATTTTGCTCTGATGGCAGATGCAAAGGTTAACTCGTATATCTATACATATCTTTACATGTATTTCTTGTGTGACAGCAGGTGGGATTAGCAGTATGATTATTCATCCAATCCTTCTGCTCTGTGCTAGGTTTACACCAGTTTGCTATCAAAATATGCCTGAGACTATCTTTCATGCATTAGAGAGAAATGCACAATCGAATGTGAATACAAGTTGAGAAGAGCAGCATGCTGATTAGATGCCCCAATCCAGTGTGTGCTGACAGATATAGTACAGTATTAAAGCTTTGCCTGTGCTGCTTAATGCACAGCTTATTGCATAAAAAAA